GTATTTAAGAGATACCGAAGCCACACAGATAGCATCATATCTGCAGGAAGCCTTCCTCAAGGCTGTCTTTCTGTGTGTTCTAAAGCAAGGTGGGAACAGCTGGGCTCTTTTGATCCATGATTTCAGTATCAGAGTGAATGCTAGGTAGAGTGAGGACTTGCCTACATGGTGCTCAAAGACTGGGAAAACAACCCTGTCTGTTCCACTAAGACGGTTCCCAGTTGAGGGTATACAGACCTGGAGATGAGAGAGAATGATCAGTGCAGCTTTTGTTTACACATCTGAAAGCTGGGTGGTGTGCATCATGAAGCCCAGAGATTGATGATATGTGCCTTGTCTATGCATGGTGGTCTTCGGGATGCTTCCTTGTGGGTTTGTGTGTGGGAACATGCCTATCTGATATATAAATGTAGCTGGGCAGGGGAGGGTCAGCTGAGCTTCAAGAAAGTCATTTATCTAAGTAGTATCATTGGTGACTCTGAAAACCCTTCAGGGAGATATTACTGGTGGGTTGAGTCAGCATCTATCTGAGATAATGTGGCAGAGTGCTAAAGTTAGGCAGGTTATAGTTCCAGCTCACTTCAACTGATGTATTTCTGCAGCAGAAGCTGGACAGCCACTGAAGGTAATCCCATTGTATCTGTCCCTATTATGTTGACTTCTTGGAGGTCTCTGAGCATAAACCCAGCTTGATAGACCCTATTGGTGCCTATATCTATCTGATCCTTCCTCAAGGCTGACCCATGTATACTGGCAGACAACACAGTAACTGTGCACAAAATATTATGTGCATTGGCCTTTGTTTTGATGGATGTTCTGGTTATTTATCATGACAGCGCATTTGTTATGTCAACTTCTGATGCTTCTAAAGTAAGCACTTGGATAATCTTTCAAATGTGTAGTCTCTCAGTATCTTATGATATTCCCGAGAAGAAAGACATTGACGTATATATAATTCATTTATTAATGCCATGCCATTATTTTTACATTTTATATTCTTTTCCAAATCCTTTATTTTGTAGTTCTCTCATAACCATACGAGGCAAAATCTATAAGCTACATGATTAATGCCAGTTATAATAATAACAAATATTATTGTGAGGGTAGAGTTGTGATTCATGTCTCTTTGATCCCAGGTTAAAACCTGTCTTGTTTAAGCGTAGTTCCATTATGCAGAAGTCACTTTCTTGTGTTGTTGGCAAGCTACAGCTTAGATCCATTAGACCAAGCACTGCTAAGCAGTGCTCCAACACTGTCAACTGATGTATAAATGACAGGAAGCAGAAGCTTAGCATGTAGTGTATGCAGTCATCTGTACAATCCAACCAGCCCTGACTTCAAAGTCCGAGTAATACTTCATTCTAGAAACCATCTTTAGGAAAGTGATTTCAACTTCACTGATTTTTGCGCTTCTGGTGTGAGTTATAGACACTCAAAAAGACTGCCTTAAAAGGGTTAATAAAGTAAAGTAAGCCCGGAAGATAATGAAGAAGAACAAAGTGATCACTTTGGTTTAAGAATAGCTTCATCACAATGATCAGGGCTTATCTTATTTGGGGTGAGCAACTACAGGCTGTGTCTTCAAGACATATGAGAGAGCAAAACCTGGTGAAACCATTGATTTCATATGTTCTTGTGAATATGTATAAATGCACCCTGCTCACTGAAGCCATGTTATTAACTTAGGTTATAATAACAACTTCAAAAAAAAGCAATCTATCATCTGATAATGCCAGTCCTCAGAGATCATTGCCCTAAGTATACATGTGACTCAATGTAGTTAGGGGTCTGAGGTTGCTAGGGACAATGTTTGGAGAGGCATGTGTGTGTACAGTACATGCAGTAAGTGAACTAGCTTGGCCAACTGCTTTATTAGAAAGGGAGTGTGTATATTCTATCACTGGACTCCTGGGAGGAATGATCTCACATCACAGAGGTTTCTCTGTTTTATTTATTTATTTATTTTAATTTCACACCCACAGTAGTGTTAAAAGAAAGGGCTCGTCTCAGAGTGCTTCAGGATGGCAGGCAGCTAGCTGAATGTCAGAGCCACATATGAATAGCTATTAGAAGACTGAAGCAATGACAAAATTCCCTAAATTTAAAATTGAAGATTCAACTGAATGTCCTAGAGGTGACTCCGGAGTCTTAACTCCACTGCTGGCCTCTCATTTCCTTAATAGTGTGTGTTGGTGGCAGCTTTACTGATCTTGTGGTCCCTGCTTCTTTTAGCCAGAGGCTGACACTTCATGCAAAGTAAAATACAGAAAGAATGCATCAAACAGAGTCTTCCTGTTTTCATTAGATAACACCCAGGCAGTGGCAATGAATATTACTCTCAGTAGTTCTTACCCTGATCTCCAGTTTATTCACTATACTTACAAACATAAGCAGGGAACCTCAGTTGTTTTGTTATAATCCTAGTACTTTGGGACACAGGTTAGATAACTCAAATTATATAGGCTGTTCTTATCTTTGGATATTATCATTTAATCCTAATATCCTATAAAACAAAGAAATGTTATTTACATATGAGAAGCCCTAAGTAAAAAAGAGCTGTCGGAGTTAACCCAAAGTCATATGTGTTGGCATTTATGACTTCAAAATCTATAATATTTCACTCTGTTTCGTTGGAGCTTCTATTTCAGCACTGAATTAAGTTTTCAGAACTGCCTTTTTAGTAACTTTTCTTGAACTAAGATTAATGTTGTACTTTCCAAATAATAAAGGGTATTTTTCCTCTTCTGATACTTGAAATATTGTTCAAAATTGGAAGGTAGAGTGCATGAGAACTTCTATTTTCTAAATAGAGCTAAAATCAAAGGGAAGATGTTTCAAATGGCCTTTCTGTGCTTGGTAGTCGGGGTCAGGGTTCGTTGTTTCCAGGTTCTTAACTTCTTATTTCAGGAACTGAAATAGAGTTTCACACTGATTGCGAAGTGCCAGGGAAATTCCATTCAAATGAAAAGGCAAGGAACAGCTCAGCACACACTTCAGGAGAACAGCAGGCACAGAGTGAATATACTCAAACACCCCAATTATCATCTGAGGCTTTCTGCTAGGAGGTTCAAGAGAAGGAGTTTGATTACTGAAGGGCTTTCGTAAAAGTGGTTCTCTATTGATTGGTAGGTTAAGTCACATAATCATCTTTCTGCTGTGAACATCCCTTACCATCTGGTTTTAATCATATGCACACCCAATAATGAATACAATCAATCAGATGCTAAGTGGGAGATTAAGTTCATTCAAGGACACGATTTTGCTTTTCTTTTCATGCACACAAAACCAGTTCAGTCCAGATCAGACCTTCTTCCCTTGGTCCAGAATATATTGTTAATATTTTTGAATAGGAACTTTCCACGTTTGATGGTCATTAAGGAGAGTAGAAATTTATCCCATCATTCAAAGAAGAGTGTGCATGAAACCCTGATGCCAGGGGGAGATGAGAGGTTGCTAGGTACCTTGTTTGGGAAGGTTGCATGGTATAAACACATAAAGGAGCAAGGATGCCTAGCACATTAGTAGAAAGGGTTATGTATAAGCCCAACCAAGCTGAATCCCAAGTTACGAAACTTTTCTCTGTGCTTGCCTGCCTTATTTCTATAATTATATCAAGTGTGGGGCACGCTGAAGTTCTGCAAGTGACTCTCACTTTGTGTCAATGTCAGTTTTCTTTACATATAAAGGATTGAAACAATGGTGTTAAGTTTATAAAGATCAACAGCCGCCCAGCTGCCAAGCTGGAGCCACAGCAGAGTTTCCAATGTACTTCAGTTCTTGCTAGAATCCTGTGAGGCCTGGCATGTGGGTAGGGAGACTGAAATTATGAGACTGAAAAGGAAAAGAGCTGTCCTGATTTCTGGTTTTATCCCACATACAGAGTGCGTAGAACACACAGCACACATCAAACAAATTCAAACTAAAAATGGTACTTCTTACTAATCATAAAATTGTGCAATTGTGTAATTCCCATTGGATTATTTTATTAATTATAATATAGACAAATAATAAGTCATAGAACTGCAAACCAATGAGAAAAGAGCCCCAACTTCTTAGGCAGCCCCCTTTCCAGTGATAGAATAGTGAAGACCCTGGTTCGTGGTGATGGTAGGGAAAGAAGGAATCATAATGATAGAGCTGAGGTCCAGTTCCGAAAGGACGGCATGATAAGTACTTAGTTCATTAAATACGCATGACCCAATTAACTTCCACTTGAGTAGGTATTCAGAATTAGAAACCAGTGAGAGCAAACCCAGGGAATAAAGGTGTCTATTCCATCCCACAATAACTACAGAAAAAAAGACAAAATGTATCCACCATCTAAGTATATGGCTCTCTTAAAGAAAAGCAAAATTAAAAGCATGGAATGCAATAAATATTCAAAGAAAGGATGCAAGAGAATTCTTCTAAGAAAGAGATTTAAATGAGTCTGCTGAAATCGTGGGGTGTATTCTGAAGGAAGTAGGCCTAGGTCTTTCAATGCAAAGACAAATGGAATTAAAATAACTAGACTTTAAAATCCTGTCAAAATGCCTGTGGCCAACAGGAAAAAAACAGTTTATTATTTAGGGGTAAAAGAACCTTCAGATTTCCCTGATTACATTTACTTCCAGAAGACAGTGCACATCAAGGACTTTATCTTTGGGCAACTTACCCTTAAAGCAGAAAGGCCAGAGAAAAATAGCTTTTAGTACAAGTGCTCAGAGGGTAGCATTCCCGTGAGGCATTTCTTAAATCCACTTAGAGGAACCTTCAGCCAACCACGAAATGACTGGGAGAAGCACAGCAAAGGGCTGACAGCGGGAACATAGAGTCTTTGCTATCATCTAAGTCTAAAGCAAATGTGAGACTCAGGCGCAAAGTGGAATGGAAATACTTGTCTGGGTGTGGGGATAAAGTGGAAGAGAATAGGAAAATCAGGGAGGTGGTCTGTGGATCGCCTCCTGTTATGATGTCACAGTCTACATGACCATTGTCACCCACACGCATTCTGTATTTCTAGTAGGGCATTCCTTGTATGTGCTGTCTGAAGTCTCCTCATTGCTCGATCCAGACTTTTTATTTCTCACCAGAAGAAAATGATGAAGGTGAGGCTGTGAAATCTCAGGACTTCACCCTTGGGGCCTATGAGGCTCTTAAGGCACTCACAGCTAATGTTAATTTTCAGCATCCTGTTGAGATATCGTGTTTCTCTACTGGGCAACCATTGCTTCATTTATTTTCCCTTGCTACTGATAAATAGTGTATAGAGGAAGCCCATTAAAGGGATTAAAAACCTTGTTTTCTAGTGGATCTTTGTTTTTGCATTGCTGAAGTTCAAACCTAAGGCCTTACTCGTGTTTGACAAGTGCTCCAACTTGAGAAGCAACAAGATTTTAGAATTATGCAAGTGACCAGTTCTTTGTGAAAATACATCTTTTAAGGACCCATAAATAGCATATAAAATTATATTTGGAGCCATTAGATATAAAATATAAGACTTCTGTACATTAAAATTACATTTCAAAATAAAACAAAAGCTAAACAAACTACACAGCTAAAGATTCTTACAAAATCGTATTAACAAAAGACCTAGGGTAGTATGAAACTGTCTTATCTACGTGTGAAAAAGAATGCCTCCTTTTCCTATTCAAAGAAATGCATTTCATAGTGAGCTTCTGAGTGGTATTTAACTCTGAGTTCTGTGCAAGAGAGAAATGCAAAATGAGTTGACCAAGAAAGATCAAAAGATATTAATGGAGAAGTGTTCATCAGGAAAATGCAGAACCAAATCCCAAACCAAGGATTTAAAGTGCAAGAAATTTAACAGCATGAAGACAAATACTAAGTAAGACAATATAAGTAACTGAACTAGGAAGGAGGAGGGAAGTTGTGAGAGGAGGGAGGAAGGAGCAGTACTAGGACACAGTCCTAGCATTGGACAATATAAAACCAGGTCAAAGAGCATTCAGCAATCCAGGGCTAAAATGTGCGCTTGACAGTTAATACAAAAACACAGCAGTGTTCACAGTAGCATCTATAAAATGCCAAGGGGATGCAAACGGAAAGGTCGTATGGTCAGGAGACTTTACTTCGTGGTCTGTGACAGATCAAGCAAAAATAAAACCAAGTAAAGGAAAAAGCTAATAACATAAGCAGCAATGATGTGTTAATATTGATATTTTATTACCATATGTTAAAACTAATAGTTGGGACTTTTTGGTATATCCAAATTCTGCATTCTGTTTCTCAAATAGTCTTAGTAGATAACCACAGATTAAGGCATATTAGATTATCATAAAAAATAGATAAACTGCAGATAAATAGAAATAGCATTTTTCTGGCACAGCACAGTAAAGCCAAATTAACAGAAAAATGGTTCAAAGGCCTTTTCAACTTAGAAATCAAAATTAGCAGAGTACATGCCTATAGAACATAATAATGAAATATTACAGGTATATATAGACTTGGGAATGTATGTGTTTATTTGTGTTTTTACTATTTTATAGGACAGGGCCTTGCCCTGTAGCTTGGTCTGGCCTTAGACATGTGCTCCTGCCCCAGTCTCTTGAGTGCTAGACTGCAGTCATGGGCACTACCCCTGACATGTTAATTGAGAGATCAAAGGAAAATATCTTGCCTTGCATATTCATTTTAATATGAGGAAATAAATAAAGAACAAAGAAACGGAGCAGTTGCTTAAGGGCTAGAAAAAGAAAGTCAACTTATGATAAGTAAGGTAGAAGGGAGGAAAACGATAAAAGTAAAAACGAATGAGCTTAGAAAAGACATCTAAAACTCCTTCACTGGAACTGGAGGGAGAACCAATGACTAAACAAGAGAAAAGACTGCTGCTTCACAAAAATCAATCTGCTATATTTTTCTGTTTGCTCCAATAATACACTTCTAGATTATATGTTACATCGATATTTTCAATGTATTTCCATCAGTTTGAAGAAAATAGTCTTATGATGTTTATTTTACAGTGTTTCATTATTTTCACAGAATGTTGAATGGAACAGTTCCTATCTTGGTGCTTGACTCTGTTTCAAATTTAAAGAAAAAAAGGTAAGTGCCTGGGCAAAGCAAGAAGTAACTAAACCCTTGAGTTGCATAAAGACCAGCCTGCTCCCATTATTTAACAGGATAGGGTAGGTCGGTCAGGCAATTTGAATGTCCCCAATCCAAAACTCTAAAATTCAAATGTTCCAAAATCTGAACGTTTTTGAGTTCTGACATCACGCTAACACTAAATACTTTTTGGTTGCTCATTGTACACAAACTTCATTTAACTCAAAATAAGTCAATAATATTGTCCTACATTACCTTTAGTGATTGGTAGTAGGCATGTATGAAACACAACTTTCGTGGTTAGATTTTGGTGCCATCCTCAAGATATCTATGATAAACTGATTAAAGTTCATGTATTTGAATACTTGGGACCTTGGTGGTGGTCCTGTTTGGGCAGTCTAAGGAACCTTTAAGAGGCAGAGCCTTCCTGGAGGAAGCAAGTCACTGGGTGTGGGCTTTGAGAGTCTGGAGCTGTGCACAACTTCCAGTTTGCTTTGTTTTTCTACACGTAATTGGAAATGTCATCTCTCAACCTCCTCCTCTAGTGGCTTGCTGCCCTGCTTCAACTTACCTTTTTTTATGGACTCTCCTTCTGAAACTGTAGGACACAATAAATTCTTCCTTCTATTCGTCATCTGTGGTCTTGTAGTCTAATCAAAGCAACAGAAAATTAACTGATACATCATTTCATGATGTAAATAGATAAACTCAAAACCCAAAAACATTCAAATGATCCAAAGCATTTAGGGTAAGTTAAATTCAGCTTGTCTTTCAGAACACACTGGGACATGGGCTATCTTGCTAACACAATGGTTGAGTCTATTGTAGCAAGAGCCTTGGGTGGACTGTAGGTGCAGACAGTAAGCAGTGAGGAGTCTGTTGACAGATAAATAATGACAGATTGACTGAGCCAGAAGAGTCATGATGTTCCCCCCTTTCTCTCTCTGCCCAAGCCTAGTGGGAAAATTTACTACAAGTTCTCCTCTTTCTGGGTCCTGAGGAGGCAGTCTTGGTATCCCTAAGGGTGGGGGAGTTGATCATAAAGTTAACTGAACAGGACTGAGTTTTTCTCTTTATTTCATTACGTGTGTGTGTGTGTGTGTGTGTGTGTGTGTGTGTGTTTGTGTGTGTGTCAAAGTTCAGGTGTGGCAGACATAGAACAACTTTTGGGAGTAAGTTCTCTCCACTGTATAGATCATGTCAAGTCAAAAGGAAACTCCATTTCTCCAAATTCCAAAAGGCAGAAGGGATAAAAGGCTGTCTGTGGTCCCTATTTGCATACCAAAGTTCATGCTGGTCAAAGTATCATCCTAGCTCTTCTTACTTTCTCTTCTACTCTCAACTCTCCCAGGTACTCATTCACTTTCAGCCCTGCTGTGCTCTCTGTGTCTCCCTCTTCCCTCCGTTCTCTCATGCTTTCTGTCTCTGTCCATACCCATCTCTTATCTCTGTCTCTGTTCTCCCCCACCTCCCCCCAACCTGTTTGTTCTGTTTGTATCTGTCTCTCTGTCTGTCTCCCTCCCCCTCTCTGTCTCTCTCTCTCTGTCTCTCTCTCTTCCTCCCTGCCTCCCTCCTTCCCTCCCTCCCTCCCTCCCGCCTCTCTCTCTCTCCTCTCTGTCTCCCTTAACCCATTTCTTCTTCTATCTCTCTTTTTGTTCAGCTCGTGCTTCTCTCCGGACCATGTTCAGTCTACTTTCTGTATATACTCTAGATTCTTTCAGATACCTCTGTCTGTTCTTTCTCTCATGTCTACAATGAAAAATCTTCCCATGGAGCTGGAGCAGTCATGTCTTCAGTTTATAGGATCCCAGCAATTAAACTTGGGTTATCACCTTACTAGAGGTTTATTTATTTATTTAATTTAATAGCATATATGCTGCCTTCAGGTGCTGTGTACTAGGCATATAAAATGGCAGAGAATTCATGACTCTGGTTCTTTTATAACATGGCTTTCAAGAAAAGGGTGTCTACCGTTCATTGGGAGTTAGTGACAGAAGAAAATAGTCATGTTTCTTGCCATAAACCAGATTTCAGACTTCAAGTTACGTGATGACTTGGCTATAAGGGACACACAGCCATGGACAGCCTACTGTGATGTTGGCTCAGACCAAAGCATTCAGGAGCTGTTAGAGTCAACTCAGTGGCTTATTTCTCAGAATGAACTATTCTGCTTTGGCATTTGCAAGAAAATTAAATATAAATGAGAAGCAGAATGATTTGAGACATGCCTCTTTAGAATGTTCTCTTGCTTTTCAGAGCCAGCACCATCTAACTTGAACTCATTGGCCCTTTCCACAGTACGGGTTTGAACTGTATTTAAGACAGCCCACCTAAATATCTAAAATCCTATTTCTTACTTTTGGGTCCTTTCAAATATAGAATGCACATTTGCATTTGCCCCTCCCTGACAAGAACTCAAAAAGAAAAAGAGAAAGCAGAGCCCAGTTGCTTGTTACTATAGCAATATCGTCTGTGAATTATGTAGATGAGCCTCATTAGGGGTGGTGTGGAGAAATATGTATTCAGTGCCCACAACACGACATGCAGGCTGGCCTCCCTAGCTGGTACCATCCTCAGAGGTATAATTAATAGCTTCCCTGTGAATAGAAGTTTCTGTTTTCTCAGCAATCACCACCAGGCAGGAGATGCAACTCTCCCCCAACTCCACTTCTCACTTTATTTCAGATGAGGCAGACAGTAGCCCTGTTTTACTTGCTCAAGCTAAAAATAACTCATTTGTAAGTTGTGTTACCATTACCTACTCCTTCAAGACGCAGGGAAAATAAAATCGCCCTCACTGGCAGTGAGATGCTATAGGCAGGGCCAGCAGGTGTGGAGCAGATGCTCTGCCTTCACCGCAGGACACTGTTCCTCTGAGGCAATGGCTGGAATAGTCTCTGTCAAAAATCTTACCTTTGCCACTCACTAGCTGGCAGCTGAATGACACAAACCGTGTCCCCTGCCCTGCCTCCTCCCTTGAAGTAGGAAGCACAAAGAAGAGAAAGCAAGACTACTGGTGTAAAATCTATTCTAACTGGTAAACAGGAGCAACTTCATTCAGATTTTACAGGGAAGGACTTTAATGAGGAGAAGGGGTTAACAACGTGTGGAGGCCGAGAAAACAGAGGGAGCAGTCAGAGACTCAGTGGCCGGCTAGAGCAAGGCACTGGATTATGACGACAATCAGGCAGCCCATTGTGATAAGGAGGGGTTCTACTGGGGTAGAGCAGGGAGGCCAATTATCCAGGGGTTTTCCCACTCTAGCCCAGGAACTGTTGCATTCCAGGAAACCCTTTGTTTTCGTTGCCAACCTAGGTAGCTGGTCATCATTACTCTACATTAGCACAGGGGCACTCAGAAGCCAGGGTCACAAGGCCTGGAAGTGGTGGCAGCTTCTAATGGGTGCTGAAGCCACCAAGCAGAATCAGCAGCTGTCCTGGGATCTGTGTGCAGCGAAGAAGTCAGTGGGCAAGGAGGGAGTCGTGCGGCCGTGGTCAGCTCCATAATCTCTCACATGGACAAGTGCAGAAGCCGCTTCTTAGCCTGGTTGCTGTCAACAGGATGCCAGCCTGTGGGGAGACGTGGTTTCCACCACAGCTTGCTCTGTAACACAGCCAAACTGTGGGGTATTGCTCTTTGGTTAAAGAGGATTATCTATCTGAAGAGGTCTTCTGCTGAGTAATCTTCTGGTTCTGATGGATCAATCCTAGGTGGCCCCTGCTCCTCTTGATCTGGGCACCTCAATAGTGTGACCTGAGGAAACAATGGGGCCATCTGGAGTTCAGAATCAGAGGGTAGCTTTCCCGGGTCAACTGTTCTTACCCGTCACCTGACTGCCTCAGAGAGGAGAAGGCAGCCTGTACCGTTTGTCTGCTGTTCTAGCAGAGCCTTACCAGCTGAGGATGAGCTTTTGCCATGGCTGGATGTGGGAATGGATCACTGGCTAATAAGACAGCGGTTAACAATAAATTGAAAGTTGAATGTGTACTCCCAAATGTGTCCAGAGTTGCCAAGAAGAGAGTTTGAGTGATTGTTCCAGAGAATCCAATGGTAACTTACTACTCTAACTCTGACATGGAAAACTAAGAATGATACACTTATTTGGAGTGAAGCACTAGAACTCCAAGGAGAAATGCCCTCTGAGAAGTTCATTATCAGTGCTAATGAAATTCGCTGTGCTTTTCAAGTTGAAGGCTTCTGGCTGACTGTGTTGACCTACCATCTGTTTTGGCATTTTATTGAGGCCAGCATACAAACACCATTCTTCTTTTAAATAGATGAACGTACTCACATTTGTGATTCTCTGTTGATGGTCTTGCCTGGAATAGTATGTGGGACTGTGGTTGTACCAAATACTGTCACTCATGCAACATTGGAAAGCCATACTGTGAAGAAATCAAGGGGGAAATGGCAAAAATGTCATTTAAGTTGCAAGACTGTTGTATGTAATAGATGACATTATAAAAACACTGAAACAGACCTCATCTTTTAAAGTGTACTTTAAATTTTAAAAATAAGTAGAAGAAGGGATACTTAGGCTTTTTCTTCAAGTTGAAGGTTCTTCTCTCCTATTGGCCTAATCAACTGTCAATCAGCTGTTGTGGCCACCTTAGACAGACATCTGATTTCCTTCAGAATGATACTGAGAGTATCCAAAAAATAGATTTGAAGGCTAGTAATCTTGGCTTCATGACAGTGAATCTGTTACTCTAGTTCTCTGAGATTCCATTTCCATGACTGGTGGTGACATTGTAGGGTCATTCTGTGTCTAGGCACACTGTAAGAATTTAGTGAAATGGGAGATCGATGGGAAATATTTTGGGGGTTTTTGCTTTGTTTTTTTGAGACAGGGCTTTTCTGTGTAACTCTGGATATCCCGGAAATTATTCTATAAACCAGGCTGACCTTGAACTCACAGATATCCACCTGCCTCTGCCTCCGAGTGCTGGGCTTAAAGGTATGCACTGCCATTGCCTGTCTGGAAATGTTTTTGACCATTGAGTTCATATGGTTATTTCCTTTCTTCTCTTTGCTCTTTAAACCTAGAAGTGTGATAGGCTGTGGGAATATTCTTGTGTTTCTTTTTAGCTTTTACCTTTGAAAAAGACGTAGGCCTTTGAGGAATGGGAAGGTGAGTGAAAATGTCTGAGAGAAGTGTGAGGAGGACAGATATATCTTGCCAGTCGTCTCCCCAAATTCTGAGAAGAGATTGAAGGAGAAATATTATTTCTCCTGACTGCAGGACACACAATCTTGTGGTTTAAGCTTTTCAGTGATGCTAAAACCCAACCAAGGTTCTAGGATCACAGTGGAGAAGGGAGCCTGCGTTCTGCTCATTGAGGAGATGCCAGTGGTTAGGGAAGAGGGACAAGTGTCAATTTGGTGACTGAGAGGCTCCTCCCAATGTTCTCAAGAGCCAGCAGGCTGGTCAGACAGCAGAGGGCACAGGGACCTGAAGAGGCAAGTAGACAGGACAAGATAACTCAGCGGCAACATTAGTGAAAACAACACTATGTTTTACGTTCTGGATTCTACTGGAAAGCTTTTAAACTAGAGAGTGGGTGGTGGAAATAAGCACTACAAGGCTCTCCAACTAGAAAACAAAACAAAACAAAAACCACCCTCCTCCCCCCAAAAAACAATGATGAACTCACAAATAATGTTATTTATAGGGAGTCAGGCTAGGCCAGAGTTTGTTTTGCAGTGGACATCTGTTAGTTTTGGCTCTTAGCTAAGCCCTTCAGTACTTCACAAATCCTGACAATTGCTTCAGTAGTAGATCCACTGTCTTAGGGTGAAAACTTTGGCTCCTTAGCTGTGAGAAAGTGGTTTGTTTTCTGAGTGGGTGTTTTTGTGAAGACAGAGAGTGGAATCAATACAGTTTTCTAAAACAGACTCAAGTAAAGCCAAGTCCTGGTGTTAGGATTTTGGACTCTTGACACAAGCTAACTAAACAGGTCATTTCTCTGGGCTTTTCAGTCCTTTAAGCTAACATATCCTCTTTCTGTTCAAGTCCATTGCTTTGGGCTGTTAGTTGAATCCAAAGAGTCCAAAGTTATATACTGTTTATTTACTATTCCACTTGACAGCGAGTGAATGACGCAAGTACCAGAACCTATTTCCTTAGAAGATTAAACAAGATCTTTTAATACATGTTGTGTCCCTTGATTACTGTGTTTTTACCAGTGCTATCACATTATACAGAATTTCCTTCAAGGAGCTTGGTTTTAGGAGCTGAACACCAGAGTTCTAATGTTAATCCTGCCATTTACTAGCTCAGTAGCCTGGGGAGTTGCCTGTTCTTTGTTGCTTCATATATAAAATTGGCAAACCAATAATATCTTTTGCAGGTTTTTTCTGGGGGTGAGAGAGTTCCCCCCCCCATAGGGTTTCTCTGTATTGCTTTGGAGGTTGTCCTGGAACCAGGCTGGCCTTGAACTCACAGAGATCCATCTGCCTCTGCCTCCTGAGTGCTGGGATTAAAGTCAGGAGCAACCAACACCTGTCAACAGAGTTCCTTCTTGTTAAATTCTATGTATGGTACCAGGTATATAAGGTCAACATTCAAAACTACATTAGTTTTAATATACATCTGATAGGATAGAACCTTTGACACAATAGATGGTTGGTTCAAAAATCTAAGCATTGCACTAATCAAATGATGAAAGGCTTAAGGACAGAGTAAATGTGACATTGGATTTGAAGTCAGAAGAACTAGGCTCATGTCTTATTCTCTGACCTTTTGAAAAATCTTTCAATGATGAGGAACCAAAAGTTCAAAGAGACCTAGGGATGTGGCTACTACTATTTTGTTTTGCTTTTGAGACAAGGTCTCTCTGTGTAGCCTTGGCTGATCTAGAACTTGCTTTGTAGACAAGGCTGGCTTCAAACTCACAGAGATCCACCTGCCTCTATTTTCTGAGTGTTGCCATTAAAGGAGTATGCCACCACCCCAGACTTCTACTACTGCTTTTAACAGTAAAATGTAGTTGTCACCCTTGTAAGGTTTCCATCTCTTGCTGTGAAACCCAGGTTCTGTGGTGACTGAAATTCAATGCTGTCACGCTCATTATTAGAGTGGTAGCACTTGGCAGAAAGTAAAAGAATAAGTAGTCATTTTATCATAAACTGATTTCTGGGCCTGCTGAGCTGGCTATGGGAGAGGCCCCGGAGTCAATGATTTTAGACTTTCTTATGTGATCTACTCACTTAAGCCTAAGAACCAGTGCATAAAAGGATACAGTAATTCACTGTAAGTTGTGAATTCAGAAGCTACTTCTTTTTCATTACAAAATGCATCTGAGTGTATTTAGTTAGTTAGTTATGAATGTGCGTCTGTGAACCACAAACAGAGGCCAGAAGAGTGTTTTGGATTAGATCTCCTGGGACTAGAGTTACAGGCAGTTGTAAGGCATCATGTGGGTACTGGGAATTGACCCCCTGTCTGCCGGAAGAGCAGCCAGTGCTCTTAACTTCTGAGCCATCCCTCCAGTCCTAGCAACTCCTTCTCACACTAAAATATATTAAGGGTGTGAGGTCATGACTCAGTAAGTATCTGCTGTATAGTCAGGAGGACCCGAGTTTGGATCTTAGCTCCCTTTAAAAACCTGGCGTGATGGCATACATCTATATGCCCAATACTGTATGGTAGAAGGCACGGTCAAGTTAGTTCCTTGAGCTCACTAACCAGCCAGTCTAGCAAAATTGATGATAGACCCTGTCTTAAGAAATAAATAGGAGACACTGAGGAATAAACCTGATACCAATCTCTGGCCTATACACACGTGTGTGTACATAAATTTACATATATATTTGCACTCATACACATGTGCATGCACACATACCATACAAATAAAAGATCATAAACATTGTTAAGATTTTTACATAGATAATTAATAATCAAACAATACTAGAATGCTGAAAATATTCTCTAGTTTGATTCATGTATTCACAAATATCTCATTCCATACTCTTGATATTTATGGATCTTAGAGATTTTCTTAAGGTCATGTATCCATTAAAAAAAAGTTGTAGTTAAAAATTGACTCTGAACTTCTGTAATACTTAATGTTGTCAGCTTGACAGAACCAAAAATGTCCTAGGAGATGGACTTCTGGGAATGCCTGTCAAGGATTATCTTAATTATACTAACTGCTCCCTATGGGCAGAGTCATTCCCTTATTGGTTTTCTGGATTGTGTAAATGGAAAGGGAAACTGGGTAGAGGTGGGCATTTGTTGTCCCTTGCTTCTTGGCTATGGATGTGACATAAATAAGCAGTTTCGTCAAGTCTCTGCCAATGTGACTTCCCTGTTGTTCTGGACTGGTCCTGGAACTGTGACCAGAAATAAGCCCTTTCTCCCCTCAATTGCTTGTGTCAGATTATTTTATCACAGAATTGGGAAAAGAAATGAAGACAACTTCTTTTCCTTCCCTCTCCCAGCATTTCAACAGGACATGGATACGAGTGCTTCAAGAATTGAGATGTGTGCCTGAGGTTTCTTTTAGCCACTAGGTATGAAACAGCTGATCAAGGGCCATGATATTCCAGACTACATGGGAATATGGAAGAAGGATCAAAGCCTCGAGAGAAGCCTCTATTGCAACTTACACTGAAAGACAAGGCAGAATGGAGTAAGTGGGCAGGATGGATATTTACATCATTTTGGTGATACTTTCACTGGGAGGATTTGGGCCTGGAAAACACAGCTTGCTGGGCAGACTGAGGCTGTCAGGACTGGATTGTTTCTACATGGTTCCGAGGGAATTCCTTGCTATTCCCCCTCTCTGTGGAGGTGGTTGGGCAGCATCTCCAAATTACCAAAACTCTCTAAGATGTCAAATCTTCTCAGAACACAGAAAAAAAATGCAATGAGAACAGGGACACAAGCTATTTGCAAAGATGGCTGAGAGGGCACAGCTTGTCCTCTTGCTGAGTGCTTCTCTAAATCAGTTAATAAACTGTCAGCTGGGAAGCGAAGGAGCCTGAGATTTACTGTCTGCTCATTCTGTAATCTAATTTGTAAGTGTGAGGAGGACAAAAAGCATTAAGGCACTCACCCTGTCAGGGTGATCCCATTAGAGCAAAGGTTTTGTGGCCTCAGAGGGGGGTGTGGGAAGAGTTTTTGCTACCAGAATATTTCTGCTACCAGACTTCAGAAAGGCCACAACTGGAGTAACTCCCACATGCATTTCGCTCTCTTTGGGAGCAGAGTCTAGATGAATAATCCGATTTTAATGCTTCCTGACATAACACCAGTAGCACAAACACCGAGATTGACAATTAATAAATGGGACCTCATGAAACTGAGTAGCTTCTGTAAGGCAAAGGACACAGTCAGCAAGACAAAAAGGCAACCCACAGATTGGGAAAAGATATTCACTAACCCCATACTGACAGAGGGCTGATCTCCAAAATTTACAAAGAACTCAAGAAGCTATTCTCCAAAACATCAAAGGACCTAATTTAAAAGTGGGGGACTGAACTAAATAGAGATTTCTCAATAGAGGAGACTAAAAGCACTGAGAGACACTTGAGGAAATGTTCAATATCCTTAGCTATTAGGGAAATGCAAATCAAAACAACCCTGAAATATAATCTTACTCCTGTCAGAATGGCTAAAATCAAAAACACCAATGACAATGTTGAAGAGGATGTGGAGAAAGGGGAACACTCCTCCACTGCTGGTGGGAGTGCAAACTTGTACAGCCACTCTGGAAATCAGTATGGAGATTCCTCCAAAAAATGGGAATCAGTCTACCACACGACCCAGCAATTCCACTCTTAGACATATATCCTAAAGATGCCCATTCATACAACAAGGATGTCTGTTCCACTATGTTCTTAGCAGCATTATTTGTAATAGTTAGATCCTGGAAGCAACCTAGATGCCCCACAACTGAAGAGTGGATAGAGAAAATGTGGTACATTTACACAATGGAGTATTACTCAGCAGAAAAAAACAATGTGTCTTGAAATTTGCAGGCGAATGGATGACACTAGAAGAAACCATCCTGAGTGAGGTAACCCAGTCACAAAAGACAAACATGTTATGTACTCACTCATATATGGATTTTAGACATGGATCAGGGGAGTGTCAGCCTACAATTGCAGGGCCAGTGAGTCTGGGAAATAGGGAAGTTTCCAAGAGATATGCATTATACCCCAGAAAAGTGGAAAGAGGCAAGATCTCCTGAGCAGATTGGAAACATGGGGGGAGAAGAGAGGGAACCAGGAAAAAGGTAGGAGGATAAGAGGAGGGTAGAAAAAGACATGGGGGAGCAGGAAGTCTGAGTTGGGGTAAGAATAGAGGAGACCAGGATGAGAGATACCATAATAGTTGGTGTCATTATAGCTTTGAGGAAGAGAGCTGACACTAGTGAGATTCCCAGAGATGTACAAGGATAACACCAACTGGAAAACTATGTAATAGCAGAGAGACTACATTAATAGCCCCTACCTGATGATAAGGTTGGTGACTACCTTATGTGACATCCTAGAACCTTCATCCTGTGACTGATGGAAGCAGAGACAGATACTCACAACTAAACATTGAACTGACCCCCTGGAACCCAATCACAGAGATGGAGGAGTGATGAGCAAGGCAGTCAAGACCGTGCTGGTGAAACCCACAAAGACAGCTGACCGGACAAGGGGGAGCTCTTGAACCCCAGACTGATGGCTGAGAGACCAACAGGGGACTGATTCAGACTCCATGAATGTAGTGTCAGTGAGGAGGCCTCAGAAATCTCCAGGGCTTTGGGTAGTAGACTAGTGTTCACCATGGCATAGAAATTAACTTTGGGAGCCTATTCCACATGGAGGGATGCTCTCTCAGCTTGGACACATGGGGAAGGGCCTAGGTCCTGTCCTGGATGAAATGACAGACTCTGGATATCCCCCCAAGGAGGGCCTTATCCTCCCTGGGGAATGATGTGGGGATTAGGCTGGGGGCTAGAGTGGGAAGTGGGGGTGAGGCTGGTGGAGGGAGAAGGGGGGGAGCTGGGATTAACATTTTAAGCATGCATGTTTCTAATTTAAATAAAAAAACACGTAAAAAACAGAAAAAATAAAAATAAATTGTAAAGATGCATACATATAATAAAAAACTATTAATAAGCCTATATTTAAGAATTAACAAATCATCAAGAACTCTTATTCCTGAAAGGCAACTGGTGCGTCATACAACTTGTCCGAAAAAATTATTCCATTTGCACATAATTTATCTATGTCTTCACATTTGGATTTAATTGTGATCATTAAAGACACCATTTAATTCCACATATTATTTTTGTTTCTATAATGAGAAAAGCTATTTAACTAGCAGAATGACAAAAATGCTCTTTAAAGTAGTTAATAATTACTATGGGAAATATTAATCAGCATACTCCATAAATGGATCTGAATAAAATCTTTTAATAATTTTCAAGGATCATTTAGTTTTACAAAAGGATTATATGTCCGAGGGGTGTTTTTGTCTCATACAAATAACAAAGTAGTAAATGTCATGCTTTTAACTCAACTTTTTTCTGCATCTCTTCTTAAAAAGGAATGTTGGAAGAAGAAAATGAGACAGATGACCTCAGCTAATACCTTGTAACCAGCTGAGCTGTCTTAAGCAGATTAAATTCTTTGCAAGTCTTTTCTCTTTAAAAAAGGTATGCATATGTTAATGTTGGTATGAGGATTAAGTAGCCTCATTATGTGAAAGTGCCTTGTTCCTAGACACACATGTGGAAGGAGCAATTACTCTGTGAAGTTTCACGAAGCTTTTTAGTTTCCAAATGATTAAGAGACGCCCTGTTTTTCTGTGAAATCATTGTTACCCCCCATGTTTTGTAATAGACCAAAAGAACCTTACCATCTCAATTATAGTCCAAACCAAGACTTGAAGACAGGAACTTCCACTCACCAAGGCTGGTTCTTTTCCCCAGGTCACCCATGTGGAAGGTAGAAGGTCTTTTGCTACATCCCTTATCCCCTTTCAAATGATTTCCAAGTATAAGGGTAAGAAAAAGGGAAACTCTGGGTTATGGATATAAGAAGATGTTTGTTCTGGAGTACAGGCAACAAGGCAGGTGCTCCTTGGCCCAAATGTGTGTGTCTTTCCTTAGTGTGTCTGGGAGATATCTCCTGCATGCACGGAGAGCTAGCAGACTTGTATTGCACACATGATCATGCATGACCTTCCAAACTATAATACAGGGCAAGCTAAAAAAGGAGTGCCTACAGATTCCATCTAAATCCTCTCTGTGCAATCATGTCACTAGTGTAGTAGTACCCCACTATTAGGCACTTTGAGTGGGATCTCAAACAATGGACTGAACAAAGCATTATCAAGTTTAGTTTTCATGAATACTACAGCAAAGTTACAGAAGACAAGAGATAAAGGACAATGCCACCAGAGTAGTTGAGTTTAGGCTCTAGGTTAGTACTAAATATAAAGAGTATGGATCCCACCAGATGTTGGTGGCACACACCTTTAATCAGCATTTGGGAGGCAAAGGCAGGTGGATCTCTGTGAGTTCGAAGCCAACCTAGTCTACAGAGTGAGTGCTAGGACAGGTTCCAAAGCAATACAGGGAAACCCTGTCTTGAAAATCAAAAAAAAAAAGTGGGAATCCCCTGAAAGTAGGGCTATATAGGTGTAGGTGTGGAAGGGGTCATCTGGGTAAGTCAGGAGAGACTGAAAACAGGAAGCTTTCTCAATATGTTGAGTATAATGGGAAAGATTAAATGCCACCTTCAGAAAGCTCCTTCACTTTCCAACATAACTATCAGGGATGTAATTACTCTGTGAATTTGAGGCATTTTTTTTCCTTCCAAGATGATAAGAAATAAGAGATGTTCCTTTGTAAACATTGTTGGTCATGTCTTGTTACTCAATGGGTCAGCGGAAGGAAGCGTCTTCCCAAACAAAGCCAACTTATCCATAGGCACCTTCGTGGCCGAATTCCCCAACAGAAGAGGAAGGATGGTCTCTTCCATTTCATTGTGTGCCACAGAGACTTGCTTTGGAAGAACTTAATATGTCACCAGTATTTAGCATAGATTCATTTCTATGTCTACTAAGGTTTTCTTTTCTGCTTGTTTTGTTTTTTCCATTTTTTCTTGGGCCTTCAACTATATCAGGTTGTTTGTCTGTTTTTGGCTTGCATGGGGTGCTAGTTGAACAAACGGCCTCATTAGTTGCTCTGTAATGGGAATGCTTATCAGTGCTGCCTGTCTCATGCAGATATTAACAAGTATGTCCTTTGTTTTTATGTGAGATGAGACCGAAGGGGACTGCTTCTTATGATGTCGCTAGGTAACAAAATACAACTAGAATTGCTCTCTCTATAGGTGGACTTTCTCTTTTCTGTTAATGCTCAAAAGCTTCAATTATGCTTGTTGACAAGAACAATGGGTGCAGATCCTGGACACCAGAGGTCCAGTGTCTGCCACACAATGAGATTGGGGCCCTGGTAGGCAGACTTTAGTGAGTTTCAATTAAAATACAATGAAGAATCTTAAAGGAATTCAGAGTGGAAATGTTCTTCATTTACTCATCCAGCAAACATTTCTTCAGCATCCATTGTGTATAAAGCACAGAGTCATGAAGTTGGGGCGTGTGGAAGGTGGGAGGTGGATCTGGGAGGAGTTAAGGAGAGGAGCTGGTAGTAATTATGGTTGTCTTAGTTCAGTTTCTATTGTTGTGAAAAGACACCCATGCCCATGGCAGCTCTTATAAAGAAAACATTTAATTGGCATGTTTTGCTTATGGCTTTAGAGGTTCAGTCCATTGTCATCACGATGAGGAGCATGGCAGCATGCAGGCAGATGTGGTGCTAGAGGAAAAGCTGAAAGTCCTACATCTTGCAGGCAGCAGGAAATTGAGAGTCCCACTGAGGGAAGCTTAAGAAAAAGAGACCTTGAAGCCCGCCCCACAGTGACACACTTACTCCAACAAGGCCACTCCTCCTAATAG